TCCCCCCCCCCTCTCTCTCTCCCCCCCCTCTCTCTCTCTCCCCCCCCCTCTCTCTCTCCCCCCCCCCTCTCTCTCTCCCCCCCCCTCTCTCTCCCCCCCCTCTCTCTCTCCCCCCTCCCTCTCTCTCTCCCCCCACCCTCTCTCTCTCCCCCCCCCCTCTCTCTCTCCCCCCCCCCCCCCTCTCTATCTCCCCCCCCCCCTCTCTCTCTCCCCCCCCTCTCTCTCTCCCCCCCCCCTCTCTCTCTCCCCCCCCCCTCTCTCTCTCCCCCCCCCCTCTCTCTCTCCCCCCCCCTCTCTCTCTCCCCCCCCCTCTCTCTCCCCCCCCCTCCCTCCCTCCCTCCCCCCTCTCTCCCTCCCTCCCCCCTCTCTCCCTCCCTCCCTCCCCCCTCTCTCCCTCCCTCCCCCCTCTCTCCCTCCCCCCTCTCTCCCTCCCCCCTCTCTCCCTCCCCCCTCTCTCCCTCCCCCCTCTCTCCCTCCCCCCATCCACCTCCCCCATCCACCTCCCCCGAGCGACGCTGCTGCTGTTGCTGCTGCTGTTGCTCACGCGAGACATTCGAAGCACCCACGTGGCCCCAGCGGGGAGATTGTCACCGCGCGTGTGGCGCGTGCGGCTTCATTGTGACTCTCGCTCGCTCCCTCTCTCTCTCTCTCTCGTTTCACCAGCATTGAATAAACTTGCAGAGCGCGTGTGCGGACGCTTTAATCGAGGAGTCTTAATGGAAAGTTACCACCCACCCACCACCACCAACCCCCCCCCTACCTCTCCCGCCCCATCTCATCTCGTCTCCCAATCATCAGCCCGTAAGGAATGCAATTGACCGTATTACCAGCGCGGTGGTTTGATTCTTGAAAGATATCTCAGCCGATTGATTTATTTTTTAATTAAAAATAATAATAGATGTATTCGCGGCGGTGTGATCGCCCACCCGTGGCTGCTGTCCGCTGTGAAATGTACTCGAAACATCAATTTTCGTCACGAGGAATAAGCGGAATTCGCGTCGCGGCTGATTCTGTTTTTTTATATATATATTCGGCAGATGGTTAGTATCCGAAATGATGAGTAGCCTACATCATTAGCCCTCCTTTGCCAGTACTAAAATATAAGAATAGGGTATCTCGCCTTTTGGCGTCCTCTGGCCGAGCACCGATTGAGACGAGCCTCAAAAGAAAGCCGTCCCTTGGTGTGGACCAATCAGTTTCAGGACCAATGCACCATATATTATCATAGTATGGCTTTTGTTTGCATTTTGACCACAAGTATTGTGGTTAACGCAGTGACATAATTCCACGTAAACAGGTTTCAGTTTTGTTGACAGAAAAAAAGGGGGTGGGGGAAACCCTTATTCTTATGATTAGTAGTGCTTGCGATGGCGAGCCGACTATGGCGAGCCGAGATTTATTCGGCTGGACGTCTGTTAAAAAATAAGAGCTTTGTAGCTCATCGGATTCCTCCAGTGTGGAGCAGTCAGTTTCAAAGACAATGCGCGTACTGTCAGAGCAATGGTTTTTCTTCTTTTTGGTATGTTCACCACAAGCATCTGTTGTTAATGCAGAACATCTTAACAACCTTGACTTAAAGTTCTCGCGACGGCAGGAAGTCATACTCTCGGGTCTTTGGGTAAAGTCACGTAGATAGAAAAATAAAAACTAAAAAAAACAATCACCAGGTTTCGAATTTTTACCGAAAGATCCGAAGAGTATCTTAATACATGTTTTATTATTATTATTATTAGAAAATAAAAAAATTAAAAAACTACGACGTTTCGATCGCAACACAAGCAATCGTCTACAGGTGAGATGTCAACACTAGCAATCGTCTTCAGGTGAGATGTCAACACAAAGCAATCGTCTTCAGGTGAGATGGTAACACAAAGCAATCGTCTTCAGGTGAGATGGTAACACAAAGCAATCGTCTTCAGGTGAGATGTCAACACAAGAAATCGTCTTCAGGTGAGATGGTAACACAAAGCAATCGTCTTCAGGTGAGATGTCAACACTAGCAATCGTATTCAGGTGAGATGGTAACACTAGCAATCGTCTTCAGGTGAGATGGTAACCACTAGCAATCGTCTTCAGGTGAGATTTCAACACAAGCAATCGTCTTCAGGTGAGATGGTAACACTAGCAATCGTCTTCAGGTGAGATGTCAACACTAGCAATCGTCTTCAGGTGAGATGTTAACACAAAGCAATCGTCTTCAGGTGAGATCTCAACACTAGCAATCGTCTTCAGGTGAGATGGTAACACTAGCAATCGTCTTCAGGTGAGATGTCAACACTAGCAATCGTCTTCAGGTGAGATGGTAACACTAGCAATCGTCTTCAGGTGAGATGTCAACACAAAGCAATCGTCTTCAGGTGAGATGGTAAGCACAAAGCAATCGTCTTCAGGTGAGATCTCAACACAAGCAATCGTCTTCAGGTGAGATGGTAAACACAAAGCAATCGTCTTCAGGTGAGATGGTAACACAAAGCAATCGTCTGCAGGTGAGATGTCAACACTAGCAATCGTCTTCAGGTGAGATGTCAACACAAAGCAATCGTCTTCAGGTGAGATGTTAACACTAGCAATCGTCTTCAGGTGAGATGGTAACACAAAGCAATCGTCTTCAGGTGAGATGGTAACACAAAGCAATCGTCTGCAGGTGAGATGTCAACACTAGCAATCGTCTTCAGGTGAGATGGTAAACACAAAGCAATCGTCTTCAGGTGAGATGTCAACACTAGCAATCGTCTTCAGGTGAGATGGTAAACACTAGAAATCGTCTACAGGTGAGATGGTAACACAAAGCAATCGTCTTCAGGTGAGATGGTAACACAAGCAATCGTCTTCAGGTGAGATGTTTACACAAAGCAATCGTCTTCAGGTGAGATGTCAACACTAGCAATCGTCTTCAGGTGAGATGGTAACACAAGTAATCGTCTTCAGGTGAGATGTCAACACTAGCAATCGTCTTCAGGTGAGATGGTAACACAAAGCAATCGTCTTCAGGTGAGATGTCAACACAAAGCAATCGTCTTCAGGTGAGATCTCAACACTAGCAATCGTCTTCAGGTGAGATGTCAACACTAGCAATCGTCTTCAGGTGAGATCTCAACACAAGCAATCGTCTTCAGGTGAGATGGTAACACAAAGCAATCGTCTTCAGGTGAGATGGTAAACATGAGCAATCGTCTTCAGGTGAGATGTCAACACTAGCAATCGTCTTCAGGTGAAATGGTAAACACAAAGCAATCGTCTTCAGGTGAGGTGGTAAAACACAAAGCAATCGTCTTCAGGTGAGATGTTAACACAAAGCAATCGTCTTCAGGTGAGATCTCAACACTAGCAATCGTCTTCAGGTGACAACGCAACACAAGTAATCGTCTGCAGTTGGCTCTCTCACCTGAAGACGATTTCTCGTGTTGCGACTTCACCGAAAGACCCAAGAGTATTTATTCCTGCGGTCACGAAAGCTTTAAATCAAGATCACGTATCATCCTCTCTCGCACCATCCACTCCTCAATGTCCCCACTCGCACTCACACCGTCTCCCCCTGTCCCCAACTCTCTCCCCCGTGCTCACTCTCATCATCGATCCGCTCTTCTCATTCCATTCTTTGATTATAGCACCACCCGCCGCCACCTCGTTTCCAACGAATCCCATCCACTCGCCTCGTTTCATCTCGCCACAGTTAGTTCACTGCGTTAAGGCGCTTTACATAATGCATAAGATGCGATATGAATGTCTGATTAGATTACAGATGAGTTCCTGAGAGAGAGAGAGACACGGACACACTGAGCCATTATTTTTATATTTAGCATATAATTCAATTAACAGGCTCGCACGCGTGTCACGGGTTGTTATAAGTTGTGTTGAGTTTTTTGTAAGTGTCGATTTGCATAAAGACAAAGACACTGCCATGCATAGGTACACATCACTGAATGATAATGTTGCTGTTGCAGCTGCTGCTTTATTGGCAGCGGTGCACATGCACAATTAAAACAACAACCAGAAAAAAAACCTTAACAAGTTAGTCAATAACAACGCCGCTGTGCGTGGCCTTGAAAATAAAATATCACGGACGACGTTTCGGGCAAATAGCGCTTCTTCATTTTCTCCATCTACTACGAAGAAGAGACATTTTTTTCCACAACCGTCGCCTATTATATATTTCATTTTTTTTATTTTAAGGCCACCGTGTTATTGATGAGTGTGCTGAGATTTCCATATGTGCACGTATATACATATATAGACACGCATAGGTAGCAGCTGAGACAGGTGTGGACACGGGCACGCAGACGCCACGTGGGCCAAGACGCAACGGGGGAGAGGGGGAATGGCAAAACAACACAAATCATCATGAAATACAGCCTTGCAAATTCATACCATTTGTTTTACCCACATTCCGTGACCTGGAATATCCCGGGTCATTTTAAATTATAATGATGCATGCGCAATGTAATTATGTGCCACCCCCGGGGAGGATTCTGGGTTTAAAATAAAAAGCTATGCCTTTTTTATCACTGAAATATAATGTATTTTTTTATATCTGTAAGCAAATGGATTTAAGGGTTAGGCCTGGTGGCCAACCCTATGTCTCTGTGCGGAGTAGTCTGCTGGAAGTCTCAACGACTTTCACAGGCAGGCCAAGTTTTAAAGAAGAGCCACTGACAACCGACTTGGAAGGTGATACCACCACACCAATCTGATTGGAAGGCATCCGAGCATTTAAATCAGATTGCTGCAACGGGAAGAGGAGGGAAGATTAAAATAATGAATTAAGGGACGGTTGATAACCATTGGAAAAGAGACAAGGGGATTGGAGGAAACGAGGAGAACCTGCTAGAAAGGGCGGTACGGGATATATAAGCGGCCCGAGAGAGAGAGAGAGAGAGCTCATTGCGCATTCTGAAGTGAAGCCTCTATAAGTATGGCCTCTATGTGTTTGCACATTAGCTGCGAATAAACCATGAAGTTGAGCTACACTTACCTCGTTCCGATGTCCTTTTCACATGTAAATGGACCCAACCCCCACCACCCCGCTCTCACAGTGGCCACAGCTATCGAGTGTGCGGGTCGTGAAACTGCACTGGGAACCACAGGCCGGAGAGGCACAGGTGCCAGGCTGTGAAGATGGGCAAGGGGTCCACGGCCCATGCCAACTAGGCAAGGCCCAGGTGCCAGGCTGTGAAGATGGACAAGGGCCCCAGAGCCCATGCCAACCAGGCAAGGCTCAGGTGCCAGGCTGTGAAGATGGTCAAGGGGCCCAGGGCCCATGCCAACCAGGTAAGGCCCAGGTGCCACGCTGTGAAGATGGGCAAGGCACCCAGGGCCCATGCCAACCAGCCAAGGCCCAGGTGCCAGGCTGTGAAGATGGACAAGGGACCCAGTGCCCATGCCAACCAGGCAAGGCCCAGGTGCCACGCTGTGAAGATGGACAAGTGGACCAGGGCCCATGCCAACCAGGCAAGGCCCAGGTGCCAGGCTGTGAAGATGGACAAGTGGACCAGGGCCCATGCCAACCAGGCAAGGCCCAGGTGCCAGGCTGTGAAGATGGGCAAGGGCCCCAGAGCCCATGCCAACCAGGCAAGGCTCAGGTGCCAGGCTGTGAAGATGGACAAGGGGCCCAGGGCCCATGCCAACCAGGCAAGGCCCAGGTGCCAGGCTGTGAAGATGGTCAAGGGGCCCAGGGCCCATGCCAACCAGGCAAGGCCCAGGTGCCACGCTGTGAAGATGGGCAAGGCACCCAGGGCCCATGCCAACCAGGCAAGGCCCAGGTGCCAGGCTGTGAAGATGGGCAAGGGACCCAGGGCCCATGCCAACCAGGCAAGGCCCAGGTGCCAGGCTGTGAAGATGGGCAAGGGGCCCAGAGCACATGCCAACCAGGCAAGGCCCAGGTGCCATGCTGTGAAGATGGGCAAGGGGCCCAGAGCCCATGCCAACTAGGCAAGGCCCAGGTGCCAGGCTGTGAAGATGGACAAGGGACCCAGGGCTCATGCCAACCAGGCAAGGCCCAGGTGCCAGGCTGTGAAGATGGACAAGGGGCCCAGGGCCCATGCCAACCAGGCAAGGCCCAGGTGCCAGGCTGTGAAGATGGGCAAGGGGCCCAGGGCTCATGCCAACTGGACAAAGTTACTGTGCACCACAGTGGCAATTACGAAGAACAAGAAAAAACCTGAATAAGTTTTTACTTCATCAAGCATGTACACCAAGCTCAAGGCTAATGGTTACTCTGACTAAACAATCCGCAAAGCCATCACTCCAACCATGAATAAGGACCCTTTTGAGGGGCCATTCAAAACCATCACCTTACCCTACATTGTGGTGGTCACAAAAAAGATCTCCAAAATATTGAGTAAACACACAAGATCCAAGTTCGATTCAACACAGTGCATAAAATCCGTGATCTGGTCCCATCTGTAAAAGATATGATTCTAGACATACAGTACCCTGGCATCTACAAACTAAGTTGCCTCTGTGGTAGCAGTTACATTGGAGAAACCAAACGACATATCTCGGACCGCATCCGTGAACACAAAGCAGACCTAAAACACGGAAGGACCAACACCTCGGCCGTGGCAGATCACTGTTATAATTCAGTGGGCTCACATGACATTGACTTCTCCAAGACAGAGGTTATCTTCAAGCCATCTGGCTACCATGAGAGATTCGTTCATGAGGCTATCAACATATACAAACACAGAGACAATTTTAGATTTGAAGCTTTTGTGACTACAAGGATTCATACTGTTTGTTTTTTTCCGGTAAAGTCACGTAGGTAAAATAAAATAAATGAAAACAACTAAATTAAATCACGACGTTTTTCGGAGGCAACACAAGCTTCCGTCTTCAGGTGAAAACCGTCACAGCAAAATTGCTGTATCAAGTGAAGAGAGCTCTAAGACACCCGAGATTATATATATACAGGTTAAGGGGGGGGAGGGGGGGTGAGGGAGGAGCCAGAAAGGGCCGTGGGGGGGGGGGTAAGTTAAGCCGCCTCTTGTTATGCTGCAGGGGGTTAGGGGGACAGAGAGGTGATGTTGAGCGTTTATCGAAAACGTGCCAAACAGCTGAAAGGGATGGAAATGGCTGTACAATTTTAAGGCAGCTAAAGTTTGACTTGGTTGATGACATCTTTTTTTGCAACCGAGAAGATGGATTCTGGCTTAACAATCATTGGAAGGATGTGATAAACCATTTCGGGTCTTAATTGATTGCGTTCACGTTTACGGTGACTTTCCTGACCGCATTCAATTCTTCCTCTCTCTCTCTCCCCTCCTCCGTTCCGAGCATAAATGGACTCGTCCGTCTGAACAACCGCTAGTTGCTGTCCGTGGTGCTACCGTTAAGGGAAAAAAACGCCACTTTTTTTGAAAATTTCTTCATGTGGTTTTCACACCTTGTGATGATTGCTTGTGTTGCAATCTAAACGTCGTGTGAATTTTAACGTTTTATTTTTATTATTTATTATTTCCCTTCCTACGTGCCTTTACCGCAAGAACCAAGAATATTCATCAGAGAAGTGTGTTAAACTGCATTGGGTGCAAGTTTATTCTGGATAACCGGTTAAGAACTTAAGTGAGACCAGGATTGAGTCTCGGTGGCAAGAGTGGCGTGGGTCGCCGAATCATCGTCGAAAGAAAAATAAAATGAAGTCACGGGAATAACGCAAAGAGAAATCGTGAACATGTAAAAACACAAACGTGTTATCAACAGTGAGCTCTCCTCCCCCCACCACCACCGTGTACCCCTTCAGGAACCATCAGCAGCTGCAGCGTTCAGCTGGGTGAAATCTCCTCCGAGGACGGTGCAGCAATCGCTTCCGTGCCAAACAAAAAAAAAAACAACAAAGGCTCAATCACTTTCTAAAAAGGAGTGGTTGGCTAATGATGCTCCCCATTATAATTTCTGCTTAATTGGCTTAATTAATTGCGATCCGCCGTCTGTACGATCCCACCGTTCCCAAGCGCTGAGCATCCACCCGATGTGACCCCGTTCGATCGAAAGGGGAAGACTCCTTCACGCCTTGGTGTCAGCTTCTGCCGGGTGTTGCCTCGTCTGGGTAGGTCCACGTGGATGGAGGGAATGAGGGCGCGGTGGCTAAGAGACGTTCGCTGCCTCGCCTGTGTTACAGGAGGTGTCAGGGTCGTGATCGAACCCACGAACCTCTCCAGTAGACCAAACGAGGTAGTTAACATTTCACCGTGGAGAGAGAGACACCGCAAACTCCAAATATACAGCAGGCGTCGGGGACGGGTTGAACCCACGACCTCCTGTACACCGGGCGAGGTAGTTAACATCTCACCACGGAGAGAGAGAGAGACACGCAAACGCCAAATATACAACAGGCGTCAGGGTTGGAATCGAACCCACGACCTCCTGTATACCAGGCGAGGTAGTTAACATCTCACCACGGAGAAAGAGAGAGACAACGCAAACGCCAAATATACAGCAGCAGGCGTCGGGGTCGGGATCGAACCCACGACCTCCTGTACACCAGGCGAGGTAGTTAACATCTCCTAGCCACCGCGGCGACCCAAGCACAGCCATTTGGGCGACCTCCTTCACAGTGCAACGCACAGGTCGCGTCGTGACCGCGGATTCGCCTTCTGCGGAAGTTGAAAACGATCGGCAATGAACCTCGCGATGGTGATGCTGGCCGCAGCTACCAGCAGAAGCAGCCCGGACCTCAATTGCCCCCAATTGTTCACTGTGCGCGCGTGCGGGTAGAGACAGGAAGACGTTATCACGTCTTCACGATTTTGACAGAATCGCCAGATGATGCTGCTTGTTGTAATCACCAGCGGAAACGCCACAGTAACTCAAATTGTCAACGTCGTGGCTTTAAATTTCCAACGCACAGCCGATGGTGCTGAAGTAACCGTTCAAATTGGCGCGTTTTTGTTGACGCGAGGAACCCGTACTAATTCTGCTGTGTCGGGTGGTGGCCGGTTTAACGACACACAATTATAATCACGCGATCGAAACCAACAACTTTATAACCTTTATTGGTTAGTATCAAAGTACGAAAGCATAATAATAATAACAGATTTTAACCTTCTGGCAATGGAAAAGGAGTTGTGTTAAGATGTTCAAACATCGAATAGAGACATTTAGCAAGGAAGCAAGTTTCGATTTAAAGCTTTCTTGACTGCAAGGATTCATCTTCTTTGGTTTTTTCGGTAAAGTCACCACGTAGAATGAGAATAAAATAATAAATTGATAAAATAAAATAACACGATAAAATTCTCACGACGTTTCGGCCACAACACAAGCGGCCTTCATCAGGCGAAGGGACGAGACTGTCTCAATTTATTATTTTCTTCTCACTCTACGTGACTTTACCGAAAGAAACCAAAGAAGAAGCAAGTTTACTGCATTAACCACACTTACTTGTGGTGAACATGCAAACAAACAAAAAAAATGCCCCGATAATAATCTTATTTTCTTTAATTATACTTAAAAATATATATGTCGTTGGATTCTGTTATTCTTATTTCCAATTAAAATTATTCTAATTTTGTTTTTTGTTTTTTAACACTTTATTACGAATTGACGTTGGTTCGCGAAAAAACCTTCCGCCTCGTTTTAAAGCGACGAAAGCGGTAATAGTTTGGGCCCCGCTCAGTTCATCGAGTGCCAACTGCATTATTTCACTTGGCCGGGTGGAGGAGGGCTGTACAACGCGCAGGCGATCTGAATGCGCGGGGAAAAAAAATATAAATATATTTTGCGAGTCGTTATCGCGCTCAAATCGGTTAACAAAAAATTGTACACGGCGTCTCGATGTTTTATACTTTAATTTGTTTTTTTTAATATATATTCATTAATGCATTTTTGATATTAATTTATTCATATTCTTGGTTCTTTCGGTAAAGTCACGTAGAAGGGAAGCAATAAAATAATATTTTTTTTCATTATTTTATTGTTTCCCTACTAATATTGTTTTATTATTTTATTGTTTCCCTTCTACGTGACTTTACCGAAACGAACCAGAATATGAATTAATGAATATCAAGAATATGAATCCCTGCAGTCACGAAAGCTTTAAATTATTTATTCATGTTTATATTCATTTATTTTTACATTCATTTATACATTTGTATATGTATTTATTTATTTTTATAGCCAATTCTTTATTTGTATATTCATGAATACTTTAATATTAATTTATTTAGTTCCATATTCATTTATTGATTTTATAGCCATTTATTTTTAAATCAATTTACATATTCTTGGTTCTTTCGGTAATGTCACGTAGAAGGGAAACAATAAAGTAGTAATTTTTTTTTATAAAACAATCAGATTCTCACGACGTTTCGACTGCAACACAAGCAATCATTATCCATTTACATATTTTCCACGTTAATTTATTTATGTTTATATTCACGTATTTATTTTTATACTCATTTATTTATCTTTCCCATGGAACTATTCATGGGATGCAGTGCCAGTGAGATTGCGAGTCCCAAAAAAAATAAAAATAAGCCACGGCGTCCACTCACAGAAGGGCGTAATCAGATCCCGCACTCGAAATCACGGCGCTAAAATCACAGCGCACGACAACTGGTTATTATGGGGGGTGCCGTGGTTTGCGGGGGGGTGGGAAACGATTCAATGTTTGGAAATTCGATGAGTAACTCATCATTTGCATTTGAATAGGCCCCGTTAAATGCACCGCCCACGTTCAATACGACCCCCTCAGGGTGTTGGTTTGGCCGGGTGGAGGTTCAACAATTTGCGTCACCAGAGCGAGGACACGTTTCCTTTTTGCACGTGGACCGATCTCCAGTTCGTCACGAGAATTGTTGCATCACGGGGTTGGAGAACCTCCGTCCGTGAGTAAATCCCAACGATAGCGGCGGTGGCTAAGCCGCTTCTGCTGCTTCATGTGGGCCGCCCCGGAGTCCAGCGTTGTGGAGGCTGCAGGGAATGGGGGGTGGGGTGGGGTGGGGGGTTGGTGGATCACCACGCGAATGTTCGTGCCAGAGAGATCAATTCCACGTTGAGGAGGCGTCGCTCCTCCATCGCATCACGTGGCCCTCCTGCACCAAGGAGTACACCCACTGCAGCTCGCCTTCTGTTTTATCCTGCACGGTGTGGGGGGTGGTGGTGGGATTGAACGTTTGCCAACATCTTACGGTGTTTAAAGTACATGTGGTTTGCTCGGACATGTACA